TTTTTTTTTACGACAGAATTTAGAATTCAAGCATATACTTTTTTGATATTTTTAACGTTTACAAACCTCGTAGATATTTAAAATTGGAAATAATAATTACGCTTACGCAAGTATAAAGTATAAATTATTTTGGAGTCCATTACGATATGATTATTTACGAGAATCTAGAATTCAAATGTTTCCTGATCTTTTACTTTTACTTTTGCAAATTGTATATACTTTATGGGTCTTATAGATTATGAACAGTTATATGTGTAAGCATACAATACAAATTATTTCGTAGTCCGTCTCGATATGTTTAAGTATTCTTAGAGAAATATTTATAATTTATAACCTTTGGGAACATTTAATCAGATTATATTTGATATGATTTTTTTTTTTTGTCAAACGCAAAATATGAAAAATTCAAGGCACAAAATATTGTGAAACTGGAACATGGGGTTACGAACGATCAGAAAGTATAAATTTCGAAATATGCCGAATTCAGTAACCTTCGAAACCGCGATCATGGAATCGGTGTCAACGACGATTTCCAGTCTGCAGCAGCTGGATACGCTCGTAAACTGTTTTATCGCGATCGTAGCTGATCTCACAAATTCTATCTCACTTTACAGATGATTTGATCTAGGGTTTCCGTAAGGGTATTTTTATGTCATTTTATACGATATTCTCATCATCCAATATGTATCGTGTCTTTCACTATATGACATCGACGATTCTTATTACTTTTATCAAGTCGTTTGAATTTCTATTTCATCAATTACGTTACCAGATTCAGTTCTCTGAATTAAAAATTGACTAGTAACTTTTTTTTTTTTAACTCAAGTTACATTGTTTCAATTTTTCCTTAAAAAAAGAAAAAAGAAAAATAGAATTGAACAAACAACGTCGAATCGACTATTTTTACGTAAAATAGAAAATTTCATTTTCAACGCCATATCCGAGAGATGTTTTCTTAACGCCAAACAGTTTAACAATTCATTTTTCACCCGGTGGTAATTGGTAAACACTATTTATACAAATTCATTGTTCATCGTAATGGTAACGTGAATTAGGTGAAGATCGTAAATCCGAAGAGGGAAGAGGCTCGCGAATCAATTCGTCGTGCATCGTCGGTTTCGGTGGAAAAACTTGCCGGCAGACGCGTCGGGAACATCACACGCGCGCGCGCTATGACCGCTAAATGTGTATGTACTTGGTATTATGCCTGTGACAGTCTGACTATCGCTTACTTGGCCGCAGCATCGAGCTTAGCACGTTTGCGATCCACTTGAAACCGAGAAGTCGTACGCGCATCACGATTCTCCAACGATTCTCTCTCAATCATCTTCTCTCAGCAACTACGTAAAACCAGTCCAGTAATGTGCTCTGATAATCCCACTTCTACCGCTTCTTGCACTTTTCTATCCTCACAGCGATGGCGTCCTTCTTCGTCCTCTTATATTGTCCGCTTTTCTTTTCAAGGCCATCCTTGAAACTCGGTCAAGGGTTCTGGTTTAGGCTCGAGACTGGGCAACTGATACGGTCAGTTTTGCTGTCACAAGCCACCCTCGGGTCAATGTTGAGCCGCGAATTTCATGCGCTTCTGCTTCTGCCGCTGGTTGCAGAACCACACTCGGACCACGTTCTTCTTCAGATCGAGTTTCTCCGCGATCGCGGCGATCTTCTCGCCGGACGGCCGCGGCTGCACCGCGAAATACGCCTCCAACGATCGTTTCTCCGGCGCGGCTATGCTCGTCCTCTTTCTCTTCTTCTCGCCGGCCGGCAAAACCGATGGAGCATCCGGATCTCGCCTCTTGTTCTTCGCCTGAGCCTCCGCCTCCTCCAACCACGCTTGCAATATTGGCTTCAGCGCGATCATGTTGTTATGCGACAACGTCAACGACTCGAATCGACATATCGTCGATTGCGAGAGCGCCCCGACGCCCGGTAACTTCAAATTCGCCAGCGCTTTGCCAACGTCCGCCTGCGTCACGCCTAACTTGATGCGTCTCTGTTTAAACCTCTCCGCGAACGCCTCCAATTCTCGCGGGTCTGTGTCCGCGTCGGGATGAAGACCGGCAGCAGCGGCTGCTGCAGCTGCCGCCGCCATTGCTGGATGATGGTGAGCCGGATGCGGCACGCTGCCACCGCCGCCGCTTAGGTTTCCGTGGTGATGATGATGACCCATCATTCCATTCATTCCCCCGTAAACGGAGGGGCCGTGGATTCCGGCGTGATGACCCGGCCCGCCGCCCGTATTCTCCGACATCGGCGTTAACGTGGTCATCGAGTTTGCCGGGTCTAACATGTCCAGACTTTCCATTCCCGGGTGGCTCATCTGTAAAACATAATTTACACGCCTTTGATTCGTAAAGTGTTGCGAGAGTTTAGTTGGTACTTCGTACAAAAATGAGATCGTTGAAAGTGAAGCACTTTTGTGCGTGCAAAAGTATTGCGCTACGGACGTGATTGGTTTGAATAACGAGAATTTCTTAGCATTGTAGTAATTTTGTTATACTGCAACGTGTTTGATTGCATCAAATGTCATTCTACACGGCCGAATTTTTAATTGCATTTGTAATTCCTGCGTGGACTGAGTACAGAGTCGATACGCCGTTTGAACGACTATTTTATTTCATTATTCTAAATTTGCAAGCGTTGCCAATCTTAGAATTCAAAATAACAGAGTTGTTGCGATTTATGAATTTCTTCGAAATAATTTATGAATGAAAAAATTGCTCAGATTGCTCAAATAATAAATGTCTTTAATCTATCTTGAATGCCGAATTTATGTCTGTAGAAATTTTTTCGTACTTCGTAAAGTACAAAGGACTTTCTCGAAATTTAAGTTCATATAAAAAGAATCACAGGAATATCTTGATTATAATGTCGCAATAGAGAAGTTTTATATTTTTATTAAGAATTTCCTTAAATACTGATTTATAGTATAAATATCTTTGATTTATAGTATGTTTCTTTTCCTTTAATATACTCATTAATGATGAGTGAACAAATTAATGACAGGACATTGTCAACAAGAGAAAATTCAATGGTTTAAACTCATATGCACCAATCTAATATTTTACTATAGAAAAAATAAGAAGTTAGCCGAAATAATTGAAAAATAACTCTCAGAGCATATTAGATATTACTAGACTATTTTATCTATAGGAAACTTTAAAATTTCAAATTATATAAGATACATAAAATGTCCAAAGTACATTGCTTTCTATTATATTAAATTACACTCTCAAAGATACAAATTTGCACAAAAGTCTACAGTCTATCTATGATGTTATATCACAAATATACTATAATGTAAATTAATAATTTATTTAGCTTCAGTATGAATCTCTCACTACACCACTCTCTACAAGTAAACGAATATTTCATATTTACGTAATATTCCTTGGCAAGAGTAAAGCATCTTTTTAAAATAAATCAAACGGGCGTGCAATGAAATATTCCAAAGTTCCCTTTATAGTCGCAGAGGTTTCATAATTACGTAAAATTAATAATCGTAACAACTTAAACGATGAGAAATGTATCCGGAACCTCGCTCGTAAAATATTTCGATTTCGTTAGTGCGGCGCATCCATCGGTGTTTAAAAATCAAGATATCGGAGCGGAAATTGTACGGTAACGTGGTTACACGATTCTACCAATTAACATTGTTAAAAGTGAAGAATGAATGGAACGAACCGAGGGCAACGAGGGACAGGAACGGACGTGGAGGCAAAAATGAAGAGAAAACGTGTACAAACTAGCACGCACAATTATGCAGCACGTGCCGTGGTCGTCGTGAGCACAGTGTGCGCGACCCCTTACAAATTATTTATGAGCTCCCTTCATATTTTTCCTCCTAGAGAGTGGCGCGTTAAGTGCTGTTCGTATATTTTGTTTCCTTCAAGGAATCGTCTTGCTCATTGCATGTAATTCCCACGTTAAGCCAATAAACACGCGTGTTAATACATCTTGGTTTCTACTGAAGGTTTCTATTATGTACAACATGTAGCGAAGAGCATAATTGTATAACGATGAAAAATTGTCGTTAATTTAATAGACAATCTTACACGAAGTTATAACTTTATAAAAAAAAAAAAATTTAAAAACAATTCACTTGGTCTCATTTTAAAGCATGAAGCCTTCACCTCGACAATCTTGAGTTTATTTTTTCTTTCAAAACAGAATCTTATAGTGGAATATAGTTGAAAAGTAAAAATACCGTTCTTCCGAATATATAAAAATTCAAATTTAAATTCTCTTCAAAAACAGTGGAAAACCTTTTCTTCGTGACTAGATTTACAACAGCGATATAACCACTTTTATACGAATTTGAATTTGATATTTGAACATTATATTATCGAAACAACATTTCTGCTAGTAACAAATGATTTTACATATGTGTATACTAGTAGACATTCTGTTCTAATACTGTAATATTCGGATTTTAAGATATTCGAATAACGAAAAAACATTTGGATAGAGAAAGTTTTATTGCGTTGTGAAGAAAAATATGACTAACAAGATACATGTAGCAATAATAATTTATTTACGGATATGAATGCCCCTTTTTCGTAATACACAAGCGATTTGCCGAAGTAAATACGTGGCTGCTTACAGTTTCAGAGTTCTAAGACCGCTAAGATCCAGGGGAGAAGGTCGTAAAAGTGGAAGGTGCGCGTATAAATCGGCGAAAAAATGCCGCGAGTGTGGTTCCGATTGGTGCTCACGCGAACATGCGCCTACGGGACGTTTGCGTAACACTGTACACAGGGCGTGACGCGTATGCGTAGGAACACGCGTTCGAGTGTACGCAACATTTATTCTCACGAGAATATGCAGCGTAGCGAGCTAACTGGATGGCACGGTTTCGGTCCAGGGGTGCTCTGGAATAGCATAGTTACATCAGAAATGCAGGGGGTTGCGGGTGGCGGCACGAAAGAGCGAGAGGCTACCAGGGGTTGGAAGAGGATGGCGGCAAATATAGAGTGAGCCAGGGACTAGCCCAGGGGCGTATACGGTAGGGCCCCAGAGACCCCCGCAATATTTCATCATTACGCTGACACGACGGTAGGGTTAGTCGACTCTCTCTCGTTCCTTTCTACCTTCACTCTCTCTCTCTCTCTTTTTATCTATCCATCCACCTCGCTCTTTCTCTTTCTGCTTAGGTGTGTACCTATCCACAGAAGAGAAAGACACGCGAATCTATGTGTTTCTGTCTTTCTCGTCGTTTACCCTCGCTCGTCACGAGTCTCTTCCTCTCCCTTCCTCTTTCACCCTTTTGGCTCGGTTCGCTCCCCAAAGCTTGTGCCAATGACACAAAACTCGTTACATGCGTATTCGTGAAGGTAATACGTTGCGCGTTAGGCGAGCCGGTAGAAACGCACGCCCGTTATTGAATTCGTCAGCGTCGCGTATAAAAACAGACTTTATGGGACACTTGCTGTTTGACCATCTGTATGGGAGGTCCATGGCCGGGCGAAGGAGGAAGAGAAAGAGAGAGACGCAGCGAGCGCTATAAGTGGGAGAAGTGGTGTTCATGCCACCGCACTGCGGGAAGCCAGAACTGCGATCTATACACCTACTTCATGGTCAACGAATACTCCGGCGACTAATAGTCAACCAATTTTCAGCGTGATCGATGCAATTGCTTTTCCATTCGTATGTTTCATTCGGTCTACCTTTGATTAGTTTGATCGACACAGGTCGGTAAAATGCAGAATTACTCCGAAAATTGAGGGCAACAATGTCTCTTTTTGACAGAGATCTATCAGTTGGATATTGAGAATAACACCCTTCGCAACGTCGTGTAATTTGAATGTTATTCATTCATACGTCCACATTTTTAAAATTTTATTCTTTTTTATTGATTAGTGTATCTCATCGATATATACTCTCGTCAAATGACACTTATTAACAACAATTATTATTACGAAATTTTAATTTCGATAATCAATAGTTAGAGTTGACTAATAATTTTCTTCTTATATAAGTAGATAAACGAAATTCCAATTATAAAGGATTGAGTTTAGTTTTTAAAACATTGTGTCATTTTCTGTTTTATTGTTATAAAAAAGTTGCGTTCAACCCTCTCTTTCTTCGTTTTTACATGAATGTTAAACATTGTTATAATTGTACAAGTCTAACAACTCTATATCTGAAGATACTTTTATACATATTGAGATATACTTTTAATGCATATATAGACGATTAACATTTTAATGGAAAAATGGATATATAAAAACGTATTATTTCAATCGAGAATACGTTGATCAGTGACGCTTTTACAGAAATATTTCATGAAGATAATAGGTGGATTTCAGATATAATAACGTTGCAATCGAATATATTTTTCAATTTTAAAATGCATTTGCATCTGGAAAACACATTTGGAAAACGATGCATAAATAAAAGCACGTGAAACGTACGTATGCGTGTTTTAATCGTACTACATTTCGTAAATTTTTAACCAAGTCACAACTATGTATCAATGCTATTATTGTTTCGCGATATTATTAATAAAGCATTTTCGATTTTATTTTTTTTAAATTCCAAATTCATAAAATACACAACATTTTTGTGAACCATAAAAGGAATAATACACTCATCACCTACTCTTTACTTTTTACACTGCAATTAATGATTTCTATGCTCATTGAATATATCCGTATTTTTTCAACCACCACAGAATCCGTATTCATTTCAGTGCTGTATGATTTTACGTGATACTGTGAATCTTTTAAACTCATCTTGTTATTTTAAATACATAAATACGTGTTAATAAGATGAAAAGTGCATTACTTTGAATTGCATTTCATTTCTTTGATAATGATGTAAAATTTTCTGTCCGAAAATTCTGCTTTTCCATTTTCTGTTCAAAATATTTTCTCACCTATATTGTAAAACTCATTTTAACGTGGGGCAATTTTTATTAGTTCTATATTTTAAAGTACTGAAATTATATTGACGCAATTGTTCGTAATTGGATAAATATGTTTCTTACGCATTGCAATTCGCGATAGCGAATCCAATGTGACATTAATAATATTGGTAAAGGAAAATTCTGTCGAAATTGATTGCGTTACGCCCAGTGTGTTACGAATCGTCCCGATGGCGAGATAATATACGAGCAACGCCCCTAAGCTCGAGAAGATCATTCCGGGTCGCTGAACATTGCTTGCTTCACCCTACTGTCATGCTATAATCCATTCATCGGCTTCAGATTGTTTGTATTAGCATAAAAACCCCGAAACGACAAGCAGCAAATTGTAATTGAATTAATGCGATATTCGTTGCTCTTTCGCATGTCAGTCCTTCTTACTATCTTTGAAACAATTAAGACTTGAAAATTTAGATTTATGCTTTTACGAATCTTACTGAATCGAATGATTTATTATGGATACTACAATTGAAATTTATTTACTTTCTTTGTTCTCGTTAATGAGAATAAATTGTTAATGTTAATTTTCCATAGATTTTATATTCGGAACAATTTTTTCCAAACTGAAAACGTTCAGTACAAAATATTCTGACATTTTACACGCAAGCTAATAAATTCATTTTCCTTGTTTCACTCTAATTTTATTTTTAATAAAATCTTCCGTTCGTTTGAATTCTCTACTTTTAAAATATCATTTTACACGGGAACAAAATATACATTTTACAGATCGATAAACGTTAAAATTATATGTTCGAATGTGTACAATTACTTGCGCATATTGGAGTATAAAAAAATATCAATGATTAACGTATCAAAATGAAAACTGTTGCTCGTATATCGCGAACGGCGCGACGTTTAATAAAGAATCGGTCGGGTTGAATTTTTTAATTGGCGGATTAATTATAAACCATAATTAATTGCTATGCGCGATTAATTATTGTTGATGGTTTTAAGCCGTCGTTGAAGCTCGTTGCATTTTATAATCGTACACGAACGTTAAATTTTGTACATCGACCGTTATTGTTTCGGTACACTTCATTACGATAATTGTTTCGCCGATAAACTTCGTCATTGGTAATAGCATTAAGTTTTAACAAAGTTATCGTGCCTCTGAGGCCACATACAATTAGTCTGTTCCGTAATTCATTTCAGTCTGAATGTAACTACAGACTTTACTTCGTTCCGTCGTCGATTTCATTGAATTATTGTAGAACCAAAAATATTCTCGACGAAGGCAAGTGAAATGTTAGTGGATAACTATTGCTAGAAAGCAGAAATTTCTAAGAAAATATTTAAATAAAAAAAAATTGTTTGTTAAGAAGGAGAGACATTAAATATTAGCGATATGCTAATGATAAAAAAATAAAATTATATCTTATTGTAATATACTGGTTCGAACGATTAGAACGTTACTGTACGACAGAGAAAATAAACGAAGATCTATCCACTCGTCAACGAAATTAATTAATATATCGAGGAAATCAATCTATACTCACATCGAATGATTAAAAACTCAATTATACTAATATTGTTAGAACTAACTATCAGAACTTAATTGCATGAATAAAACAGATGAAAGTCTATAGAATACAGTATACGAATACAGTATACGATTAGAATTGATGTCAAATGGACATGGAACTTATTTGTGTATAATAATAAAATAAATGAAAATCTGTTTATTCGGCAACGAAATTAAACGCGCGGGAAGAAGAAGCAATTCGTACGAGTATAGTATGCGAAAAATGCAGACTCACAAAGAGGTGTGAATGTACCTGATGATGTGGCCGGTTATTTGGATGGGGGGTTGGCATGTGGGCTCCATGATGATAGACGGAAACAGGGTCGTGCTTCAAAGGCATTGGGGTGCCCGCGTTGTGTTTTCCCAAATCCGCCGCCAAAGCTTCCGCCCTCGAAAGTAAGCCGTCTTGTAGACCGCTGTTCAGACCCCCGAATAAGTCACCCTGAAACGTTAAAAGCGACACGTGACACTGATTGAAGAATCAGGGATCATGCATCAGGCGTAACAGAATTTCCGAAGAAACGTTCCGTCTCCTTAAATGAATTTAGAGAGCGTCTTAGAGTGTATCTTGTAACGTTGATGTGAAAGTGGCGCGATTTGCAGAGATCTAAGTTTCAGAAGGGGTATATAAGATGGATGTTATATTATACAAGGGGCACATAACGTGGCTTTCCTTTAAAACTCAGACATCAGTAAAATCAGTATTTAATTTATCGTTTTTATTTTTGCTAGTTACGTGCAGATTTTATATTTTGATGAATTAAATCGAAGAATTCTGGATTCTGAATAGGAATTCATTGTATTTATATTTAATACTAAATAAATAATTTTTGAAAGTTAACTTTTAAACTTTTATTTTCTTTCTATTTTATTTAATTTCATCATATATTTTTTTTCTTTTTACTTGAAAATTTTATTTATGATCATAAAGAATCTTAAAGGCTTTTTCATGATAACAATTTAAAGGACATAATGTTTGAATTGCGTCAGTTTCATAGCAAGGAGGCGGTATATAAGTATTTTGTAGCAAGTTCCGAAGAAGATTTAGTTCGATAGATGGAGGAAAATTAGTTTTACAAAGTGTCGGTTGGAAGTTGCAGCTCAATGTCAGTTTCTGGTGAAAAAAACTATGCGGTTCTTTTGTACAAAAGTATCCAGTCAGAGGTCACTCCATGTACTCAACATGGCCGTGCGATCGATATTCTAAAAATAGTTTTGACACTGGAAACTTGAATTTAGCTTCTCCCGGATTTTTGAAGCATCTAACTTAATTAATAATTTTTATAACGCCACCACAAATCGAAACAATTTTTGCATTATTATTGCGTTAATTTTTAATAGTTATTTCCTAGTTGCTAATTTCTGTCGTTTTGTTATAATAAAATTCTGTTAATTTTCAAAATATTTTCATTATATTTTACAACTATTTTTTTGTATAAATTTTTGAAATATAAAATATTATAATAAATTTAAAAAAAATTTTTTTTTTGATAATTTTGACATTTTTAGCAAATTATGTTATAGATTTCGAATTTTCGCGAAAATGCTTCATGTTTTTTTCTCTCTATTTAGATTAAAATATAATATGATTAAGTAAAAGTGCACGTGTATGTAATGTACGTAGGCGTGTAAATTACGATTCACCCTGTTAAATTGATGGTATTTCAAAAGTGGCTACCCGTGACCTATGAGATTTGCTAATCGAATTCGTTTGCTTGTCAAATGTTGCTGGGGTTGCTGGGCAGAATATTTTAGGGTCGAAGTGTTACTAAAATTGAACGTGACCATAGGGTCCATTATACTATTCTTGCGTTCTTGACGAAATTATAGTTGGTGATAACAAAAATAAACTGCGTATTTACGAATATAAAAATATTCTCTATGTCATTTAAAATTGAAACATTAATCATACCTTTAGAAAAGACACAATTTTTTAAAATAAAATTTTTGTTTAAAATATAGAACATATTACAGAAAATAAAGAACTATTTTTAATCTTCATTTGAATTAAACAATTTTTAAATTTTGTCTTACTAAAAATTATTATTTTGTCTTATTTCTTACTAAAAATTAAATTTTGTCTTACTAAAAAATATTATTCTTTTATTTTATTATACTTATTGTATACATGTTCAATTTCATACTAAAATGTAACACATTAAAATATTCAATAATAAATGTAGATTTAAATACAAACACGCTATAAATTGTTGTTTCGTTATCAAGATTTTCCTATGAAAAGAAATTTTCAAATCAAAATATTTCTTCTTTAACGATTGATAATTATTATAAACCGCGCAATTCTACGCTTTAGATTTATCATTCTTTCTGATTCCTACGTCACGGACAAGAGGAGGAAACAAAAATTTCACCGAAAATGACGATAATCAAGCAGCCAGGGGAGAAAGGGTTAATACAATTCCTTTTCCCGGCGTCGTATTAATAGCAGTTGCGACGCGAATTTATGGTTTCGTTTTGTTCAGATATGCTTCTATGCCGTGGCAATCGATATTATATGGGACATTTTGCGTCAGCCGCATCTGTCACTGGCGGCATATTGCAAGGTTCGGCTACCGCACAAGCGATATCGTCATATTATTCGAGAAAAACTGAAACGTCTATAACACGATACAATTTCGAACTTTTGTAAACGAGATCCGTGCTTTCATAGGTCTATTTCTGATCTTTAATTTATTCTTTCGAGCGGTGCTACGTAATTTTATTTTTTTTTTCATTGATATTTTAAATATTAATCTAGAATATTAGTCAAAATATCGGTCTTCAAATTCTGTTAGAATATTAATCAGAATATTAAACGAATGAATAAATACAACGCATAATTTAGAGATCATAAGCGATACGTTTTTATGAAAATAAACGAAATAAAAGTTTGCAATGCGTATTGAATTCAACAAGAACGGTTCAAGTATTACAAGTGATACATAAGCATTGTATATAAATACTGAAATAAAAATGTTTTCCAATTAAAAATAAAAGTCTGTCACAGATGCTCAAATTCAAAACTGAAACTGAAAGTTCAAGTACCATTAAAATAGCATCTACTTAAAGAAAAGATACTCGAAATCATGTTCACACAGAATTCGAATTTATTTCAATTCTTACTTATTGAGAATTTCTCTAACGAACTTCGAAAATAGAATATCTTCAAATAGCATTATTGATTTCCGTCCTCTGCATCACTTGGAAAACGTGGCCGTTGCTTTATTAAATATCAATAAAGGCGGATTCATTGTCAAAACAATTTAGCGGGAATTCTCCGTGGCATGTGCTTTCATCAAGCTTGTATGAATCCGTTGCAACCAATTGGCATCGACGAGTCGTTTCTCATTCGGTAATGGAAAACATTATAAATCAGGCATTAAACGTTTTCAAAATATTCTGTAATTTATGCAATGTCGAACATTGTTCCACTCTTTCCGAGCATTATTCGAGATTGAACTTCTCGAGGTATTCAACATTTATTTACATCTTATCTGCATCTTATTTACATCAATTTATATTTGCATAATTCCACGTTCAATTTATCGCGTCTTCTCTTCAGAGGAAACAATAAAAATGTTTCAAATTCTTTCAACACGCCAACAGACTACAATTCAGATTTTCGGTTTTTAGTAGTTCGTATGAGAAAGAAACTCACTGTCAAAACGATGGATGCATTGCGTTAGTTAAAAAATTCAAGGGAACAAATTATCGTAACGGTTATTGAAATATCGATAGTTAAGTTCCGCGTAGCGAGGTTAAAATTCACTATCTACTTATTTCATTATAAACTGTAATGTCCGCATCGGCCGATCAATGTTTCATGCGAAAACCACCATCGTGCTTCAGCGCTTCGATTATTTATGAACTCCTTGTGTCTTTGTCGAGTACGTGTACTCTACTGTCTGTCTGTAGGTTGCTGAACTACCGCCACTTTTTCTAATTTCGAACTTCTTCCCTGTGTTTTTTTCTTCTTTCATATTGCGAAATCGCCATTTATCGAGTGTCTTGCTTTAAACCTAAGAATGATGCATTTTTCTTCCTTCGCAGATAGTTCGTAGCCGTTAAAAATATCTATAGAATAAATGTAATGTAACGAAGTAGTTCTTTGAAGGGGGATTTTAAGGGCTTCGTATTCTTCATCGTTGCGAACTAGTAAAATAAAGTTCCTTTAAAATAACAATTTCCTATTTTCCTATTATTTAATCTTCTGTTAAAATTTAGCACCTTTGTTGTATATCGCAACGTAAAAACTAACTTTTTGACAACTTACTATAATTCTGCATTAATTTAAAAATCACCTTCCGTTTCCAAGTATATCTATATTTTAATATTAATAAGTTGGAAATGTAACGTTAAAAAAAAAAAAAATTAAAATTATAGTATTAAAAAGTTTCATACATTCATGCGATTCCAACTCAACAAATACAAAATAGTATTTGCTTTTTTTTATTTTTCACTCGTCATTAGTTAGCACATGATACGTGCAAATCCTTCATTTCGAGTAAATTTCAAAATTCTTTTTTGTTTCAAATAAAGAATGTTTGTCCTGAAATATAAGAATCGTAAATTAATAAACATTTAATTTAAATTAATAACATTTAATTTTCTATCTCATGACGTATTATTAGTGAAAGGGTAAAAGTACTTAGCTTATTTGTTGCGTGATACATGATACTGTTCATGGAGACGAATGCTTTACCTAAACGAAGTTTTAACAGGACAATAAATCCTAAATTGCGTTTTCTCTTCAAGTGCGGAGGAAGAGTTCCAGTTTGGGGCAAGTTTAACCTCGTAGTTCTTATACGTGCGCACGTAGGTGAATGTACGGGGTGGTCTGTTTGGAACATTCAGAATTCTATTAATTGTAATCGAGACATTCTTGAAGGTTATACTTCTATCATAAGCACTTCACACATTCGTATGTTTATAATGTATTTGTATAATTGTAATGTTAAAAATTGGATTATAATTATAGATTAAGTTATAGATGTAATTAAAATTGATTGTAAAATTAGAATAATTAGGATAATTTGTTCACTTAGCAATGAAAAACTTTTGTCCTCAGATAATCTAGTTTGTTGGTTTATTATTAAAATATTGTTCATTTATTGTGATGGGAGTCTCATCTCAGAAAATAGTTTGCATTGATAACTTTTTAAATACAAATTCAGTGAATCAATTATTCAAATTCACACGCTTATGTATATCTTGGCATTTATATAATTAAATATTTATATATCTGGTAAAAACTGCAATTAAGAAATTTTGTATACATGTATATATACATATATACATACAGAAATCACATGACATACGTAGAAGGTAAATATCTACATGATATTTAAACACATAAAGCACAAAATTGAGCGTAGCACAGAACGAAGCACAGAATAATAAATGTATACACATGTTTTACGTTCAAAATCACTTTGTCCCACAATTCAAAGGCACACCGTGTATTAAACA